TTTTTTGGAAAGCTCCAAGTTTGCTGTGCTTGGCTGTAGGGCTGCACAATGTGACTATAAAATAACAATAATTATTATTATTTTATCTTTGTTAATAATTATTATTTTTATGCTGATGATTATTAAATGTATTATTAAAGAAAAAAATAAATATTACTATTGTGATGTTCCACTGCAAAATAAAAAAATCAAGTATTTAAGAAAAATATTTTAATGTTAATAGTAATGCTTAATAATAATAATTTACAGTACAACTGTAAAATTACAATACTAATATTTATGGCTTTTTTCAATTTAATTTCAAACGTTAATTTCAAACCATCAAGCTGTTATTTTGACAGAAAAGCACAGGGAAGCCTTAAAGTTTCTCTTTTGCGGGCAAATATAAATGCTTCTAAAGTTGTCATTACAAGTTGGGGAAGATGGTTGGCAGATGTTATGTTCCCAAACGCGATCCAATCTCAGAGAAGATTCAGAGAGGAGTTTGTGTGGCAGCATTTACTGTGAACCGAACTGCTCTTGAGACACTGCAAACAACGGATCATGAGTTGTTTGTGTGTAAAAGATAAAAGTGCCACGCTTCACTCAGAAACATGCTGTGTATATACTTTAATTAAATTACACTAAGCCATATAATTGTGCAGCCATTCTTTTTTGTCTATAAAAGAATGACAATGATTTACAAAGATTACAGTGACTGAAATGTGTGTTATGTGATTTTAATGACATCACAGGTTCGTAGGGCATTGCGAGTGTAATGTGCCTCACTGGAGTTCAGCTGAGGAAGAAGTGACTCACCGTTCAGTGATTACAGGCGAGGCATTTTGTAACCCCACACCAGACACAGCATACAAACACACTACTGCAAACAAACCATTCTCACCACCTGATTGTTAGATGCTGGAATTGTGGTTGAGAGCTGTTTACCTCCCCCTCCAGATAGACCCCAGTAAGGAGTATTCTCATTCAGTGGAGCGGAGGTGTGACATCTTGAGCTTCAGGCTGTAAGGATGTGCTCCCATCACCAGCATGCTGTTTGCTTCATTCAAAGCCTCAGGTTTAATCTCCTATTGTGTGGTGGGAAGTGTTCCTTTAAAGCATGACTCAGACCTTAAGAGGTTTAATATTAGGGCTGTAGCTATCGATTGTTTTAGTAATCGAGTATTCTGCAGATTATTCTATCGATTAATCGAGTAATCGGATAAGTAATTTTTCTTTATTAAAGAGCAATACTAAATATACAAGATATAATAAGATAGATCTCTTAAAATAAACAACTAATTTGTTTTCTTTTTAGAAAAATTAATATTTTTATTTATAATACCTAAAAAATGCATTTATCTCGTGCAACTTAACTTTCAAGTTTCAGCCTAACTAAAGCTCAAGCATGACATAAGCAGGGACATCATAACTAGCCAACATATTGATTTACGGTCTTCAATATGTCCAGCGCTTTTTTTTTAAAGTCTGGTCCCTGTTTTTATACAGTCTATCGGCAAAACCGATACATCGGTCGACCTCTAGTAGTTACAGTAAATGGACTAAACGAAGCCTCTGATTTTTTTTATTCGAGTTACTCGAGGTATTCGAGGAATCGTTTCAGCCCTATTTAATATGGGGATATAACCAAACTGCAGTGCTTTCAGGCTACCGCAAGTTCGGTAATAAAGTTTAACCTTTAAGATTGGAAAGTCAGCCCAATATCACCCACCACAAACTTTGGCTTCTGGGTTCTGCATCTTTTGCTTGTTGTGAACAGGCCCACATGGAATCTGTGCCCTCAAAAAGCTTCACAGATCTCCGCAGAATTGGAACAACCATCATTCACAGTTCTACACTTCCCACCACACTGTTTGTTTATGTAATGTTTTGGCTAATTTGAATATGCTTTCAGCTGCCAAAAAGAGTGTTTTACTTTGTTTAAATCCATTCCATAGGATTCTGCAGGTTTAAAAAAAAATCTAGTTTTGAGTGTTTAATTAGGATAATATGTCTACAAGGATATTGTACTTTGGGGAAGGATTGAGTAAGACTATTTATAAATTTTTTATAATCGATCACATTTTTTAAAAAGTTTAGTTTTTTGTGTTTATGATATATATTTACAAGGATACTGAACAATGAGGAATGTTTACGTGAGAGTTTATTCATTTTTTATTATTATTTGTTTATTGTTTTTAATAGGTTAAATGTTGAGTAGGTGTTGGCTGGGAAAGTTTAATTTTTTAGTCCAGTTTGATTTATAAGGTTGCCCAAATGAATAATCAGCAAAAAAAAAATATTTTATTGTTATTATAATTTATTGTCTTGCATTACTAGGCTGGTTTCTGTTTCTTAGGGGTTGTTTATATAATGCTTTAAAGGGGATCAGTTTGGTTTTTGGGCAACTAGTAGATTAGTGAGCTGTCATTACCCATCCCCAAACTGGAGTATATATATATATGGTTTTATTGATGCTGCAGTGGTTTGGATCAATTATGCTACCCTTTTTTTCTCATAAATGAATATCATAAAAGTTAGATGAGCTGACCTAATTGGGTCATGTGCAGCTCAAGGGAAGGAATTAGACATTTAAAAAAAAAAACCCTCATCATTAAAGGCTGGACCACATTCAGGTAAGCCCGTTCATATTGATTTAGGTTTGTCTTTATTATATGGAAATGTGATCTCACTCAGTGGTTGAGGGATAAGAATACAGATGTTGCTTGAGGGCATGTTATTCTGAAGACAGGATACCAGCTTTTATGAGATAGAGTTGGAGTTAGATTCAGTGTTAGCACGACCAAGTGAAATTCATCAAGTCAAGTCCCCCCTGTAAAAACATTTTCACAGGTCAATAACGAACTCACACCAGTCTGTTCAGACACACACACACACACACAATTAATCATGTGGTCTGTCACATGCTTGTGCATTTGAGGTTGTGTAGCTCCACTCAGGAACAAGGCAGAGGAGAAGGGGAAGAAAGGATGTGTTTCTAGTCCTGTGACTCCCCTCCTCCAGTCTTTTCCCCCCACATGTGCGTGGAGGAAATGTGAGCCATGCTGCTTTTATCAGCCTCATTGTTTGTGTTCCTCAGGGACGGCGCTTCCTGATGGCAGCCAGAACGCTCCACATGTTCCCATTCTGATGTCCTTACACCACCACGCTGAAAAGCTCAAGAAATGTCTTGTGTTTTTTTCTTTTTTCCATTTTCCTTTTAACTTGGCCTACATATAAAGGTAGAGGGGGTGGATGAGAGCGTGAAAGCATGGAGGAATAGAAAAAGAGCGCAATATAGCACACTAGAGAGAGTGAGTCAGTGCAATACTGCTTTCTGACTCGTACAGGATGTATAAACAGGAACCGGACGGAAAGTCCACTGATGGATGTGAACTACCGCCACTGTTAGTATCACATTCACAGACTCTTAAAATCCCTCGAAACATTTTTTTCTTTAAGAGAAAATAAACAAAAAATGAAAAGCTCTCTTGAAGGGAAAAGAACAATGGAAGTATCAGGTTGCACTTTGGTTCTTTGTACTCGAGTTGTCAGACCAGCTCAATCCTAAAGGCAGTATAACTCACGTGATGACATGGCTGTTAGTCATACTCTGTTCTTCACAGATGTGTCTGTCCACCTGCTCGTACTGGGATGTTTACTATACGGCTTGGCACAGAAGCAGCGATCTTAAGTAAACACTCACAAAAATAGTCTGTGAGAGTGAATGGAAAGCTAGTGGGAGTGAGCAGTGATTTGAGATCTAACGATAGGAGCGTGCAGTCGATAGTAACTCCAAACATGTTTCATAGGTGGAATGCATCTGGACTACAAACGTCCAACTATGCCCTGTGGGAGGCCTTCTGAATGCACATACTAATTTTACCCTGGAGGAAAGTGTGTTGTTAGTGTGTTTGTTTTTCTTGCAGACTCCATTTAATATTAATTATGAGCAGTCCTCTCAGGCTTTGATAAAAAGAGACATTCCTCACCGTGGCAGATGGCAATCAAAGCACTAATCAGATTGTGTGCTGGTGCAGGTATCTATTTGACATGGCACAATCCCTCTTTCATCAATTAGCGCTGATTGAGGGGAGTTTTATATTAGGCCCTGTAAGCCCTGATCTCTAGGCGGTGATAAATTTTAAATAGAAGCTTATGTACGTGTATGCTTATGATGTATATACTATACAAAGTGATTTTATGTAGTTAACTGCAGTTTTGAGTATTTTTTTGAGTGAATATTTTGTCATCATTTAGTCAATGTTATACCAATCTATATGACTGGCTTCTGCAGAACACACACACACACACACAAAGATATTTGTGAAGAAAATTTTGACTGTTTTGTACATAAAATGAAAGTCATTGGGGTCTAGAACAGAATTTTGATTACAAAATTTTTCTTTATGTAAAAGCCACTTTTTTTTAATGTTTAACGGTACTTGTGGTATTAGCAGTTTCAGGTAAACCTGACCCTAAACAAGTAAAAACAAAATAAACTGTGGTTGGTTGCTTTTATATGTCATTCAAAAAATCTGCAAAGTGTTAAAATGACACTATTTTTAGATGGAAAGTAGTTGTCATTATCTAATTTCTGACCTCTGACCATAAAAGTCTGCAATTACTCTGTAAGTGAAATGACATGCTTTGTACCTGTTTATTATTTGTTTTATAATATTTGATTTCTAAATTTAGTACAAATTGGTGGTAGTCACGTTAAGTGTGTCTGCAGTTAATATATATTTTAACCAGAAGGAGTTAAATCAACATACTCTTAAAACATCAAAAAAAGATACTCACCATCAGCACTGAAGTGTGAGATAATTCACTTTAAAAGTGTGTGCGTGTGTGTGGGAGAGAATGAGATTGAATTCTGCTGCTTAACTGGGAATCGTGCTGCATGTGTGTAAGGAGAGTTTCTATTTTTGTCACCATGACCTAGTATTTACAGTTGATTTCACCCTGCTGTGAATGTGCTTTCACTAATCTCTTTCTCTCTCTCTCTCCCTCCACAACAGATGACGGAAGGGCGGAGATGTCAGGTCCATCTCCTGGATGACAGGAAATTGGAGCTCCTGGTACAGGTAAGACTAAATACTTTTTTATTTACAACAATTCAGACAATGGTACAGCATGACCAAAATGTGATATTGTAGGTTTTTAAGTGTATTGGTGAAAGAATTGATTCTGTTTGACTCACCAGCACAATGTCCAGTATTAGTGCAGAAATATTAAAGTTGAATAACTCGAAATATATAGGTGTGAAGTAGGGATGTCAATTTTCGATAATTTCCATGATCGATCGTCGTTTAAATTAACGATCAATTAATCGATTAATCGTTAACCTTAATATCGATCATCGATTAATCGTTGACATCCCTAGTGTGAAGTTTTGGTGCATGTTTTTGTCATAAAGGCCTCAGGTTTCCTCTTGGAAAGTCCTCTGAGACTTAATTAATGTCTTGTGGAAATAGGGGGCTCTTGATCGATCTGTGTGCATGTATGAGTTTAAATGTTTGCTCTGTGTGTGCAAATGTAATATGACTCCTTCTCCAATGCCCTTCTCCAATTTCACAGCCAAACAGACCCTGAGATCAGTTTGCCCTGACCTGAACTCTATCATATGTTTGTGCAAATGTCTCTCAAGTGTCTTTTAAACATCAGTACCACAATAGTCAATCTGGCAGGCTTAGGTTCCCGTAACGACACCAAACCAGCAGCCTCTCAAGTCACCCACCCAACCACGCATACAGCGGTCCCCTCCTGCACAAAACACTCCATAAATCCTACTATCAGAACACAAACATCTTCTCTCAGGATGAGTTCAGTTTCCATAACAACCCTGTCTTGTCTCCCATGCCCTATCAGCCCTCAGACCTCAATATAAACAGAAGTGTCTCCTCAGCACAGCTTTGTTTCCTCAACACTCACACTCATATGAACTTTCTCAGGAAATCTCTAATCATGAAGTAAACGCTGCCTGTGGCATCCTAGTCACTGAACACATGAAGAATAAAGTTTTATAATACTGTTCTATTCTCTTCTGTCTTGTTCTATTGTCATGTTATATTCTATATATTTTTCTAATTTATTATATTCTAATTTTCCATTCTTATTTTCTGTCTGTTCTATTGTTTTATTATTTATTTTCTTTTATAGTATTTATTAATATATTGAATTAGCTTTTATGATTGTATTTTCATTTTAATTTAAGTTTTAGTAATTTTATGTGCTTGTCATTTTTTTTTATATTTCTATATAGCTTAAATTTATTTTTGTTTGTTTTAGTTTTAGTGATTTTAGTACTTCAACTTATTTTATTTCAATTAGTTGCCAAGACAGTATCTCAAATAATTAAGTTTTTAATCTAATATTTATATTTTGTTTCAGCTTATTTCAATTCTTTGAATTTTTTATAACACTCATTTGGTTCTTTTATGTCCTATTATATTATATTTTGCTTTGTTTTCTTCTGATTACTTTGTTATATTTTCTTTTCTGTTTTATTGCTATCTTTATTATTCTTTAATATTCTGTTCTGACCTGCTCGATTCAGTTCTATTTGTCTTTCGCTCTTTCGTGCTCTCTCGCTCTCTCATGCCTGTCCGGTGCGGTTAGGTGACCTGATTCCTCTAGACTCCAATCCAGTTTAAACTCCATCATAGTTAGAGAAATGTAATTTCTGAGCCTCCTCCATCTCTCATTTTCCACACACTTTCTTTCTGTCCTCTAAAATGCTGGTTGAGTTGATTGTGGTTGCAGTTTTGATCTGATAAACAGAGAAATCTAGAAAGGAGAGGTGGTGAGAGACTCCTTAACAATCAGGTAAGAGGATGAGAGAGGAAAAGAATGGATTTACAGGAAGAGATAAAAAAAAAAAGAAGGGATAAGGCAGAGGGGTAGTGAGTGTGTTTCCTCACTCTCTCTACAGTTTATGATTTATTGAGCTGTTGCAGAAACACTTATTCCATAATCTTTATGCATTTGTCCTACTTTAGTCATGAGTACTTAGATATATGTTCTTTTAGCATTGGCTAAAAGATTTAGCCTGTTCTTTTTGCTTTCTGACTTCTCTTTTTCCTCCTTTCTCTCTTCCTCCATGTGGCCGGATGTTCTGGAGAAGGTTGTGTAGGTTAATTATGCCTTTGAGAATTCTGCTGTTATTCCAAGTTATTTTTTTCTGCATGTTGCATTGATCAGCTCTTCCTTCTTTCCCTTATTTTGATGTTAGGTTGATGTACCTAACAGGGTAATGCTACAGGATCTTCTGTGAATTTAAAGGTCCCATGGCATTAAAATTTCACTTTATGAGGTTTTTTAACATTAATATGAGTTCCCCTAGCCTGCCTATGGTCCCCCAGTGGCTAGAAATGGCGATAGGTGTAAACCGAGCCCTGGGTATCCTGCTTTGCCTTTGAGAAAATCTGGTATACTAGATTTTATGTTCTACTCACTTCCATTCATGTGCATTTGAAAGATCATGCACGCAAACATATGTGTTGAATTGTACATTTGGAGACATGCATAACTTGCTTGGCAAAAAGATGTTGGACCAAAAGGGATAACTAACTTCTTGATTAAAATGTAAACGGAGGAAACTCTAATTGTAGCAGTTTTGTATAGGCTTAATCTCTTTTTTAAGAAACTTAAATACAAACTTTAAGATGAGATGTTGTGGGGAAACAGGAGTAGATAGTATTTTTAAATTTACAGTAACTAACAAATAAAAAAGCCTTTTACAACCTTAAAATCCAGTGTGAACACCCTTTAAGATGTAAAACACTTTACATACAGTATGCAGTGGTGAAATCATTGTCTGTTTTGGTTGTACTGATGGGTCTCTTCTTTCTGTAGCCTCATTTATCTGCTTCCTCTTCCTCCTCACTTCTTCCTTGCCTCATTAGTGGCAATGTACCATTCTGAAGGTTATCATGGATGATCTTAAACTGTGTGACTGGCAATAATTTCGTGAATGATTTTATAGTCCCATTAGAGACTGAACATTGCTGCTGTCTCATCATTTGAGGGCTTATTTGCATACAGTGCTGTTGAAAACATCTAGTTTATATTGGCTTTAGTGGAGGTAAATTTTTGTGTTTCCTTTTTTATTTTCTGTTGGCAGTTAGTTTTGACATGACTTTGGTTTATAATAAGGTAGACAGTCTTACAATACAAGAGCTGTCAACAGTCTTGTTAGGATTTTTCCCCAAGTTGTATAATCTTGCTCTGTTTTGCAGCTGTCTAACTGCTCGTTAGCATCTCCCACCTGTCTCTCCACAGCAGGCTGTAATTTTGTGAGTGATGTGCGTTTAGCGTGTGTATTCGTCATTTTCCATGGTGAGTCAAAGCAGGTGCTGTTGGTTGGTGGTTCTCTTGTGTCCTAGCTCAGTCCTTCCTCTCAGCTGTAATTTACACTGTCTGTCAGGAGTTTGACAAGAGCATATTTGGTCTCTCTTGAAGAAGACAGACCTTTGAGTTTGAGGTAGGGGTGGGGGATATGGCAAAAATATCATATGATACCACAATTGTTTTTTTCAGGAAAATAATGATTCATGATTTTATCACGATTCTTTGTCATGTTGATTTTACTATTTTGCAAGTTGTCTGAGCAGTATAGCCAAACTAATTTCCCTATTTTAAAAACAAAGCCTTATAAGGTAACAAAATGGGCGAAAGTGGACGAAGGTAAAAATATTTGTCATTATTTTATCGTTGTTATTAAAAAATAAGAACAAAGATACACATTACAAATACACAGAATATACAAATAAAACAAACAGTGCTTTATTTTTCAGATACAGTAGGTGTATTTAGCAGTAGCAATCAAGAAATTGAATGAACTAATATAAAAATAAAACACTATATACACTAAACACTTCACTGTATAAATTATACATCGATTCTTATTAAAGCAACTGTATTAAAGTTCTTAAGTCAAGAGCAGTGAGTGATTTTTCTTTTTGTTTTTTTGTTTTATTAAAATTAAAGGGATAGTTCACCCAAAAATGACAATTCTGTCATCATTTACTGACTTTCAAGTTGTTTTAAACCTGAAGGAGTTGCTTTCTTCTGTTGAACATAAAAGTTATTTTGAAGAATGTGGGTAACGAAACAGTGACTTCTATAGTATTTTTTTTCAAGTCAATGGGACCAGCAACTTTTTGGTTACCCAAATTCTTCAAAATATCTTCTTTTGTGTTCAGCACATTGAGGAATGTTTAACCGGCAAGGCTTTAAAGCACATGCAAATGATGTACTTTTGTGACTGCGAATAAGTGCAGTGTCCCGTGAGTGTAACTGTACCGCTGAGTTAACATTTGATGTGAAAGTATGTCGCGTTGTACAGTATATATTGAGACGGAGGAGCCAGAACTGCAACTGATAGAATGTGCGCTGTAGCACAATACTACAATATTTCTTCAAAAGCAGATTGTGGAGACATTTTAATCGTCGACGATCCAAAATTGTGATATCGCACACCCTTAGTTTGAGGGGCCAGATGATACACTTAAACTAGTACAGGGTGGCCGCGGGTCCTTAAAAAGTCTTAAAATGTCTTAAATAAAGTTTTCCTAAAATAAGGCCTTAAAACGTCTTAAAATGTCTTAAATTCAGATTCAGTAGGTCTTAAATATTTTTGGTCACACAGCCCCCCCCAGGACTAATAGCCTGATTAAAACTTAAGTGACAAAATATAATCACGCATCAAAACGCGCGAATGATTCTTCTGATTGTATTACATTCAGCTTACACAGCGATTGATAATTGATAGTGTATTTCTATTATAAATGTCGCGCTGTTGAGGCTCGTGCTGCCTGTCTCTGTGAGAGACTTTCATGGAGAAATCAAATCAAATGAGCGTACGGCACACATAAAGAAACTCACAGAACAAACATACTGAGGTAAAAATTCAAAATGTTTAGTTTATTTATAGCATGATATAGTCAAGTAACATACCATGACAAGGGATCTATTTTGCTGAATATTTTCACGATTGCAAATGTTACATTGATTTTAGTTCAACAAACAAGTAGTAAAGTATATGAAGTTACTTAAATTTTTAGACACAGTTCACTGTTTTGTT